TGAGTTTTAAAGTTGTTTTTTATTTGCATTTTGATGTAAAATCTGTCCTCAGTGTTGGGTTTGGAAAGTAAAGCTCTGTGTAAATTCTGAAGCTCTGCGTGCTCTGGCCTGCTTATAAAATAGGAGATGAGGTCATTTGCTCTTTGTTTTCCCTTTAAAGCCACCATAATGAGTGGAGTGAGGATCCTATATTTGAAATATAGCACTTCATAAAATTACTCAGAAATTCTAATGCCGCTGTAGTTTACTAATTGAGAGTGTTGATCATTGCAAGAAAGGCTGCAGCTGTCTGTTCTTGTGGCTGTTTAAGAATTAAGAATTGGTAAATATTTCGGTATGTTTTTTTGGCCACCTTCCATTATTAGGCAAAAGGCTGAATTTGTGAGCAGAATCAGTTATAGGACCAACATGAGTAATTTACTTTTATATCTCCATGTATGTGAAGTTGCAAGTGTATACTGCATATTCTTTAATTTGATCTTGGCATAGTGTGAATATATAGACAGCTATTTTTGAAAGTGATTATAACTGCTGATTTGCATAATGATCCAGGATTTTTCTCATAGCAACTGCAAAGACTGTCATCTTCAGCAATGTGGGAATGATTTCAGGCTTTAAAGAGCACTGTTTTGTTAAATCTCTGAGCAGCATTAGAGCAGAGGCATCTCTGAAGTGGCACATGGATTATTTGCTTTGGTCTGGTTTCAATATCGACACTTTCTCATTGTGGATGATGTAGCAAATTATTGGATGTTTTGATTTTAAGGTTCCTTGGGCACACCACAGTGTCTTGGTTCCTGCAAAAGCTGCAGTTGGGTAGTTAGTGAGAGGTAAGAACTTGAGCAGAGGATGGTGTTTTGGGATTTTGTTGTTGGACTCTAACAGAGTCCAGCCTCTAAATTTCAGGGGAAACGTGTGTCTTAGGAAAGACCTACTTTGGCAAACTGTGGCAGGGTTTATTTTATGCTGTTTAAGAAAGCCCAGTTCAAAATTTGGTAGTGACAACTCTCTGGTTGACTTTGTTTTGTGTGTGTTGAACTGCCTCAGTCAAGGCCTGAGGCTTTTTCCATTTTTGTTTGCCTGCCCTAAAAACAAAAAAAAAAGCTTGGAATTGACAATGAATTTGTTGCATGTTTTAAATGATCAGTTCTTCCAGATTGCTAAAATTAGCAGTATCATTACCAATTTCATGATGACTCAGAGTTCTCCCTTTGAATGGAAGCCCAGCTTCCAGGCTCCTGTGTAAGAAATCTCCTCTTGGTAGGGAATATCTTAATTTCAGCTTTGGGAATCAATGTTAAATTAAGTGAGGTGTGAAAAGGAGTGTCTGTGAACTGTTGAGCGTGGCTGGTGATAGAATTCCATGAAGATGATGTTCCCTGATGCTCCTAAAACTGCTCTGTGCAGCGATCACGGGCTGTCCCTGTCCCCAAAGAGGGGTTTTATTCCCCACCATGGGGATAAGAACACGCAGGAATATCCCCTCCACTTGAGGCAAATCTTGGGGTGGAAGAACTTGGGTTTCATGGCAGCTTTTCCAATTAAACGTTGAATCTTCTCTTTCTGCTCAGAGATTTAGATCATGTGTGCAAACAGCAGCACCACTTCCACAATGTTCTTCCATCTTATGGTGCTCCTTAAAGCCAAAGGCATTTCTTCAGTTGCTTGAACCAACAAAAGAGCTTCAAAGCCACATGTCAAGGCTGCCAGAGCTCCAGGAGCATTTGGGCAACGCTTCCAGGGCCAGGGTGGGATTGTTGGGGTGTCTGTGCAGGGCCAGGAGTCACTCACACTCCTTGTGAGTCCCTTCCAGCTCAGGATATTCTGTCTTGAGCACACATTGAAAAGCCATAAAGTTATCTTGCCCAGCAGTAGGAATGCATTTGTCATGGCTGCTCCTTGCTTTCCTTGGGAGCAGAGGAAGCCTGGTGCCATGAAAGGGTGTCCCTGGCTGGCAGGGCCATGTCCTTTAGCACACAGGGGTGAGTCAGCAGTGGCGTGTGAACTGCATTCCTGCCTAATACTTTGAGATAATCACTGAGGTACTTCAGGACGATTATATTTAGGTGGTGGAGAGAGATTGCCTCGCCTGTTTTTTAAAAAAAAACCCCAATCATATTTTTCTAAAATACCCCCCCTCCTCAGTGGGCTCACTGTTGGATGTTTGGTTTTGAGAAGCCCCTGAGTTCTTGTGCTCTCAGGTTGCCAAGCCCCAGAGCACACAAAATGCTTTTAGTGAATCAGCATCACAGACTCACAGAATAGCTGGGGTTGGAAGGCACCTCTGGAGATCATCCAGTCCAACCCCCTGCCCAGGCAGAGTCTCCCAGAGCAGGTGACACAGGAACATGTCCAGGTGGGTTTGGAATGTCTCCAGAGAGGAGACTCCACAGCTTCCCTGGGCAGCTGTTCCAGTGCTCTGCCACCCTCCATGGGAACAAGGTCTTCCTCACATCAGGGTGGCCTCAGTAAGTCTTATATTTTCCCCCCACCCTGCCCCTTTTGAAGTATTTTTCCATTTTTTTTTTTCTTTACTGGGATATCGTGGAACACCTTTTGCAATACCCACTCTGCACTTAAAAAATAATTGTGATGATCCGGGTATAGTTTAAGAGACCTTAAAGCTCATCCAGTCCAACCCCCTGCCGTGGGCAGGGACACCTTCCACTAGCCCAGGTTGCTCCAAGCCCCATCCAGCCTGGCCTTGGACACTTCCAGGGATAGAGCATGGCTAAGCATTCCTGGTGATTCCTAGTGGTGATCAGTCAAAGGTTGGATGACTTTAGAGGTCTTTTCCAGCCTAATTGATTCTGTGATTTAATTCTGCCCCTCTTTAAAAGCAGAACTGGCTGTGAGCTGTGCATGTGCCCTTGAGCCAGGGAGGGGAGAGGGGTCACAGGAGAGGCAGGATCCAAGCGGGAATTGCGCTTTCCAAAAGCCGGAGCCCGCCCCGGTTATTTTGGAACTTTTTATCTCCCTCTGCCTGCATGTTTTGAAGCTTTGGTGTTTGGACAAGTCTGGGAACCTGCTGACTGGAAAGGCTGCTGTTGAGATGTTCTCTTCCCTTTGCTTGGGGTGTCTGCTTCGCTTCCATCTTGCACCAGCTGGGAATCCTGGAAAGTATCTCATGGCTCAGCCTCTGGGAGAGGAAAAACATCTGAGCATAAACCACAGGCTGCAATGCCTGAAAAAACCCTGGAGTAAAGCTCACAAACCGAAATCTGAGCAAGTTGCAGTGTAATTTGGTGAAGTTTGGGCATCTGTCTCACGGGTGATACTCAGCTGAAACTGGGGGTTGATGTGGTGTGTCAAAATGGATTGATTTTACCCCTGGTTTTTTTATTTTACCCTGCAGGAGTGCTTGTGTTCCACAAAGAAGTGCTGTGGAAAGCAGCCTAATATATTGGATTATTTTGCTGTGGTAATTTATATGGCCCTGCTGCTCAGGGTGGGACCCAAAAGGAGGTGCTTTGCAGGAGAAATGCTGGGAGCAGGGAGAAGTCAGGTTGAAATCAAGGAGGGAGTGATGTGTGTAGCTGAAAGCCAGATAATTCATTGTTAGCATAATATAGAACCAGTTTCTTCTTCTTATAGCAAGGAGGAACTGATAAAATAGTGAAGATGCTGCTAATTATATAGCACCTTTTCTTAATTAAGGAGGTGTGAACTGCTTGAGGAGTAAAATACCATCAGAGTGGTGTTCAAAGTTTGTTATTTGAAGTTATCACAAGCTCTGTAATTTAAGCAATTTAATGTTTGGGGTTGTTTTTTTTTTCCTCCAGTGTAAGTGTTTTTTTAGGGTTTGAGCAAGTACAGAATAAACTGGAAACCAGCCACGAGCCCCTTTCAGCGTCTGTATTTAAGGCAGCTACAAATATTTATTTCATTTACTCAAAAGCTTTCCTATTTTTCTCATTGTCTGCACAAATCATCTGTTGAATGGCCCGAGCAGACCAATGTCTATTAATACTTGGATTACAACACAGTAAATGCTAATTCTTTTTTTTTTTCTGAGAGTACAAAACATTATTTCCGTGTATTCAGCTCTTAATGTTTTTCTGGAGTCTTGCAGTTAACGGTGTAAATGCAGAACTTGGTCTGTGCTGCTCTGCTGTGAGGGCTTGAGCTTGTGGGAATTCTGCAAGGGTGGAGTAAAGGAGTTTGTGTCCTACTTCAGGCTTTGCTTTGTGGACAACTAACTGGAATTTTAATATCTTGGAAGCTGCTGCAGTGTCTTCTATCCTGATGTTCCTGCTCTTTGCAGCTTTGGGATATTTTGACCATAAAAATGCTTCTTGAAAGGGTGGGATAATTTAGGTTAAAAGGGCCCTCTGGAAACCACCTCCTTCAGCCCCCTTGTTTAAAGCAGGGCCAACTTCAAACATATCATGCTTTGTTCTTGCTCCTTCTAAAATTAGTTTGAGGAGGAGTATGTTAATGCAGCAGGGTATGGGCTGTTCGAGCTGCTGCTTTCATTTCTGGTTTGATTTGCAGTGAAGCTTCTTCACTACATTATCATTTCTAATAACGTTTTAAACTTGGGAGTGCTTTCTTTATTGGAGTTATGTTAAAAAAAAATAAAAATCCATGTATCATTTCACCACCAGAAAAATAAATACCAGTAATTCTCTAGCAATTTGCTGTGAATTCTTTAGAGATGTAAACTTAGAGTTTTTTTTATTTGCCCTTTTTCCTTAGCACTGATTTGTTTGGGCTAAGAGGTCCTTTGCCTAAATTCTGTTGTCCCAGGTTGCTTTTGGCAAGTGAATTGCAGATAGTTCAGAATAAGAAATGAGGGTATTTTTTCAGAAGCAGGTAATTGTTGGGTTTTTTTTGATAAACAAGATGCATAATCCTTTTCACATTCCCATCTGTTGTGTGGAGTCGGTTGGAGTTGTTGCTTTGACTTGGATACAGTGAAACATTGGATTAATGTCCATTTAATGCTACTGCAGACATTTCACTTGCTTTACAAATATTTCCTTAACTTGCATATCCAGATATTTATCCAAACATAATTGCTATGGGCTTTCCTGCAGAGAGGCTCGAAGGAGTGTACAGGAACAACATTGATGATGTAGTAAGGTAAGGCTTTGTTTTTCTTTTCCTTAACTTATGAAGCTGGAATATTCTTTTCTGTACTTATTTGTGTTCTGCTAAGGAAAGGATGTGTGTTCTCCCTTGTAGAAATGGCAGGGTTTTTGCATCTTGTCGATGTTGCCTTATTAGTTTTCCTGGAAAATGTTGGAAACAAAGAAAATGGTCAGGCTGCTCCTGTGGGTTGATCTCAAATGCACATAATCTGCTTTTTTTAAGGTGAAAATTCACTTCAGTGAGTTGTGTTGGAGTAAAAAGGAGGTTCTTTGCTTTTAGCAAGACATGGGTCCATCACATTTCAGGATATGTTTGCCCTTACCCTTTCTTCAGTCATTAATAAAGTGCTTCATAAGTTAATTTTGAGTCAAAGTAGTAAATGTAGGTGACTTTATCTAAAGGCCTTTACTTTGGGTTGTATTCAGTAATCATGGATGAGGAGAAAAATCAGCTAAAATTTGTTATTTCTGCTAAAAACCCCTCCAGGTTGTCATTTTTATCATCAAATAAAGTCATTTGCTGTGAATTGCTGGCTGCAGCTGCAGGAGGGGTGCAGAGTGTTTTGGGAGCATCCTTGTAATTCTTTAGTCATCAGCACCCAACCTGGAGAGTGCAGTGTGAGAGGCTGCATTAAAAACTAAATATTGGGAGAAGCTGCCAAAAGTCTGTGTGTTTGGGATCCTAGGCTGTGGTTTTTTGAAGCCATGTGTGATCCTCTAGAGATCATTTGAGGTCACGAGCTCAGTAGCTCCAGGAGAGACATGATGTTTGGGTTGGGGGTAGTGCAGGAGGGTTTGCAGGGCAGTCAGGAGGAGGGCTGTCTGGGCAGGAAGGTGCTGCTCCCAGGTTTGAGAGTTTCTCCTGATTGTGCAAAGGGTTTGTCACTCCCACACAACATCCTTGGCTCTGAACTGGAGAGACATGGATTTGCTGGATGGAGCACTGAAGGATTGGCTGGGTGGCTGCACACACAGAGCTGTGGTTGAGGGCCCAGTGTCCACATGGAGAGCAGTGAGGAATGGGCTGATCCCACAGCAGGGGAGAGGAGGGGGGATTCTGCCCCTCTGCTCCATTCTGACGGGACCCCACCTGGAATGCCCTGCACAGTTCTGGTGCCCCCAACACAGGAAGGACTTGGAGCAAGTCTGGAGGAGGCCACAAAGTTGCTGAGGGGACTGGAACACCTCCTCTGTAGAGACAGGCTGGGAGAGCTGGGAATGATCAGCTTGGAGAGGAGAAGGTTGTGTGGAGACCTCACAGCACCTTCCAGGGTCTGAAGGGGCTACAGGGAAATAGGAGAGGAACTGTTCATTGGGAACTGGAGTGACAGGACAAGGGGGGAATGGGTTCAGATTGACACAGGGCAGAGTTAGATGGGATACTGGGATGAAATTCTTGGCTGTGAGGGTGGAGAGGCCCTGGCACAGGTTGCCCAGAGAAGCTGTGGCTGCCCCTGGATCCCTGGAAGTGTCCAAGGCCAGGTTGGACAAGGCTTGGAGCAACCTTGGATAGTGGAAGGTGTCCTGCCCTGCAGGGGGTGGAACTGGATGCCCTTTAAAGTCTCTTCCATATCAAACCATTCTGGACTTCTATAATCATGGACAGGCAGAATTAGCCCTGCTTGGTTTCACAGGTGACTGTTTGCATCCAGGTCTACCAAGAGCTGAGTTGAGAGCGAGTTGAGCTCCTCAGTTCCCACACTGGAAGGAATTGTAACCCTCACCTGGGCAGCAGTGGTCCTGAGGCAGTGGCTTCCCTGCACAGCTGCAGTGAGCTGGGCTCAGGGGGTTGGTTTTGCATGTCCAGCTGTCGTGACAAAGCTCCCCATCCACAGACAGCACTGAGAACATCAGAGGCCAGACCTGGCCAGGCTTGCAGAAGCCACTGTGTTCTCTGAGGCAACAGGGAGGTGTTGTCACTTATCCAGAGCTGGTCGTGTCAGGGAGGTCCAGTAGCAAGCTGGAAATACTCATGCAGTGTGTGTGTGTGTGTGTGTGTCTCTGCTGGGAGTGTTAACAGAGGTGTGGAGTTGTGTTCTATAATCATATGGCTGCACACAAGAAAAGGTTTCCCGGAGAGGTTGTGGGCTCCCCATCCCTGGAAGTGTCCAAGGCCAGGTTGGGCAGAGCTTGGAGCAACCTGGGCTAGTGGGAGGTGTCCCTGCCCATGGCAGGGGGGTGGAACTGGATGGTCTTAAGGTCCTTCCCAACCCATAAAACTCAGCCTCTGTAGCCAGCTTTCACTGCCAGCAGTCAGAGGCACGTTTTTGTGAAGCTGGTGGGGGCTTTGCATCTGCTGAGTGAAATATCTGTTCCCTGAGGGGCTTCATCTTTGGGAATTGTGGGGTAGGGGCAAAGGCTGCATTTAAAATAAATCCTAGAATGGTTTGGCTGGGAAGGGACCTTAAAGCTCATCTTGTTCCAACCCCCTGCCATGGGCAGGGACACCTCCCACTAGCCCAGGTTGCTCCAAGCCCCGTCCAACCTGGCCTTGGACACTGCCAGGGATGGAGAGTCCAAAAAAACCTCTCTGTACAGCTCATGCCAGGCCCTCACCACCCTCACAAGGAAGAATTTCCTCCTAATATCTGACATGGGAATAATCCAAATAAATAACAATAGGCAGCAGTCTTTGAAGGCTCTCTTTTATTCCCAGCATTGATTTCAGTTGCTTCTGGATGAAGGGAAATACATTTTATTGAGTACATAGGTATGTGTAAAATAGACTTTTGAAAGAGAATGCCTGTCTAATTATTAAGCTGTCCATAAACACTCTGATCAAAAGGAGCAGTGATCACCTAAAAGCATAATCAACCAAATTAAGATAGGGAGAGATGTAAATTAAGTGGCTGTAGGGAACTGGATGCTGAGGTAGTGATATGTTTGTTGCCTCCTATTTTTAAACAAGAATAAAATGTGATCATGCAGCGTTTTCCACGTTGCACTCCTCATCTGCTCCAGTCATTTTTTATTGTGGAATTATTTTTCCAAGAGCTTTTTATGAGAAATTCAACGTTCTTGAGCCCCGGAGCAATTGGCATCGAGCCAGGATCCACCAGTGGGCTTTTTCTGACTGTCCTGACAAATTCCAGGCTAATACTGCATGAGAAGTACGACCTGGACCGCTGGCAGTGTCACTTGGAGAGGTTTGGGATGGAATTTTGTCCTTAGAAAAATGACTTCTCCTCCTCCCTGTGGATGTTACTGGCAGAAGCGGAGTCAGCTCTCCTCACTCTCGTGTGTGTGTGAAACAAGCAGGAGTATCTCCCGAGAACAGCTCTCCGTGTCCACCATCTCCCTCGGGCTCTCCAAGTCTGCCGGGGGGAACCAGCAGGAGTCCTGGGATATGTTTTCCCGGTGAAATCGGAATCTCCCCCTCGCCGCGGCGCGAGGAGCCCTCACATCTGTTCCTGCTTTAACGCCCGGCTTTAACCACCGACTTCTCCTGGGTTCCTCTGGAATATTATGACTGATAACCAGAGCTTGTTTTTGCTTGAGCTTTCCAGGATTTTAGCAGCTAGTGTTTCTTTTCAATTCGAACAGCATGTTCTGTCATGGCTAATTAAATTCCTCCTGGCTGATGTGCAGATACACACTGTTGATGATGTTAAGTGTAAACATTTGTATGTTATTCCTTCTTGCACATTGCCAGGTGACACATCATATATAATCACGGCAATTTTGATGAATCATGTTTGCAGTTTGGCTTGCCGAGGCTTGTATGGGAAGTTGGGGTTTTTTGGGTTTTTTTTTGGTTTTTTTGGTTTTTTTGTTCCAAAGTGAGCTTGGAAATGAAAGGACTGTGAAAAAGTGATCTCCCTCCTTCCTTTCAGAACCCACAGTATCACCGGGGACAGACTTTGGTGGCAAATAATGGCCATTTAAAAGGGGATTAAAAGGAACGGCTCAGGCTGCAGTTCAAACACAAAAGTTACTTTAACTGCTCTTTTTTGTCGTGGCACTAAAAATATTTTGCATAGATGATGAAATGGGAAGTGTTTACAGATCCCTGGTGTGATCAGTGCTTTCTGCTTTTCAAAATAACCAACCCTTCCTCAGCTTAACACAACGATCTGCAGCTATTTCAGGGGTTAGAAAACCAGTCCATACAGTAAATATTTCGATTGCAGGCCAGATCTTGGTTTTCTGAGTTGCAGTAATCATTTTATCCATGTTGCTGGATTATTTGGGTGAGTGAGGCTTTGGGGCACTGCAGGGAATGCAGAGCTGCACATGCTGGGTGGTGCTTTGAGGATGCTGCAAATTAAGGTCAACATTATTGCAATGTATATTAATACATGTTTTGTTTTCTCTTTCCTTCCTATTTAAGGTTTTTGGATTCAAAGCATAAAAACCATTACAAGATATACAATCTGTAAGTATGCTCTTAGAGATGCATTTTCCCAAAATAATGACTTCTAAAAATAGCTTTGGGGGGGGAGTGCAAATGGCTTCTTGTTGCTGTCCCGAAGCAGAGCCGGGGATGTTTTGCACATTTCTTAAAACAATTAAGGCTGATTGAGAGCACTGGTACTTCATTTAGAGGAGCTGAGCGAGGTTAAATGAAATGCTGGGGTGTATTCACATTACTTGAACGCTTTTAAATGACTTGGCACCCAGCCCATCTGGAGCTTGTACCATGTGATTAAAAAGTGAAAACTAATTCACAGCAGGCTTTCTGTTCGTGTATTAATGTCCAATTGCCAAATGAATATTTTCCTGGGGTTTTTTTCTCTGGTTTTGGGTTGGTTGTTTTTTTTAATCCTACATTGGTACCGTGGCTCTGTTTGCTTCCTCGCTCCTCTTGTCTGTCCCTATTTGTTACTTTAAAAAAGCTGTTGGAGCGATGGGTGATGGTTTCTCACTTCTCCAAGTGCAATGTTTTTCCTCTGAAAATTTAGTTATGCAGAAAGCTGTTATTGTTGCTGTTCCCTGATCAAATTTATATGTTAGCTTAGGCTAATTTCATTTGTATAAATGATTTGGTGATGTCAGCTGCCGTTGAAAAGTAGGTCGTGGTTTTCCTACCCCTCATCTTTTTCCTAGAAATCTGAGTTGAAGATTGATTCTCTGAAGTGCTACAGTTTTATTTTTATTTTTTTAATGAATATGTTTCCAAATATCTGCAATTAATGGAAAAAATTACTGCAGTCTGGAAATCCAGGCAATGCATGACACTGTAATCTGTCAGTCATTAAAAGTAAGAATTTAAAAATGAGGATTTAAATCTGCCTCTAAGTTAGCTGAAGGATTATGCATCAAGCAGCTCTGTTTCCTGATGGTGGGGAGAAGTGACAGTAGAAACTGAGAAACTGTATTCTGATTTTGAAGTTTTCTGGAGGGTAGGATGGGACAGAAAATATATGGACATAAAATATAGTCAGTGGCTATCTTTCATACAGTTTAGGAGCAAATTTGTATTTTTCAGCTTAGAAGCCCTCCAGAATGTTATCCTGTGAATAAATGGATACAATTTCTGGGAGGAGGTTGCTGTGTGTAAGCCAGGCTTGGTCAGAAAGTAGGATTTTAGTAAGCCTGATGTGCATCTTAGCAAGTCGCTCCTCGGGGAGGTGGTGCCTGAAAAGTTTCCACTTGGTCTGCCAGCAACCTCATTTTACTTAAAAAAAAAAAAAAGTGAAAAAGGGCAAAACCCAGTCCCCCAGCCCTACACAGGAACAGCTTTAAAGTTTGTAAGTGAGAAGAGCTGTGATGAGACAAATGCATTTGACATTTACGTTACCGGGCCGTGTGTTTTCAGCTGTGAAAAGGACTTGTCCAGGTGTGCCAAAGGCTTTTGTTTGCAAGTTCTTCGTGTAAAAATGGATTTCCCTCTTGCTGACCTTGAAAACAAATAAAGCTTCCTAAAATTACTCACCCTCAGATGAAAACTTTTGGAGGGTAAAACATCCTGTTAAAGTGTGAGGGGGTTTTTTCTTCCCCAAGGCGTGGATCAGTTGCAAATGAAGATTTAAGTGATTTACTTGGAAAGTGGAGCTTTTAAACTGTGCATCCACGTGTGGAGAGGCCAGATTATCTCTTGGATCCTTTTGCAGGCAAGGTTTATACACATAAAATGCCATCAGGTGACTTGTTGCAGTGTTTGGTCAGGAGATGGGAAGGAATTGCATCCATCAGGTCTTCCAGAGAACTTCATCTCTTCAGATGGAGCTGTAAATAATCACCTATTGTCTGTGTTTCAAAGAAGGAGGTGGGAGTTCAGAGGAGCTACGTGATTATAGTCAGAATTATTTCAAACTGTCACGGGGTTTGAGTTCCCTTAAGGTGGCTGTTCTATGAAGTTTGATTTAAAAGGATTTAGAGGTTTTTCTGAAATTATATCAGTTATGCTGCATCCTCACATCTTTTAGCTGCTTGAGCAAGTCCATTTTGCTCCTTGTTTGTGTGGGTTCTCTCCTGTGTTCCTTTAACCCTTTGCTTTCTCAGTATTCTTCTTTATTTATATTCATCCCCTTTCAGTTCAAGTGCTGCCAGATCGTTACCTCCCCTTCTGGAATCCTCTCCATCTCCTCCAGGGTATTTCCTGCAGGCAGATGGTTGAAGGAAGGAGCTGTGATGAACAATGTGGATTTTATGTGCATGTTTGTTGCTCTGGGGCAGAGGAAGCCTGAAGTCCTGTTGGCAGTGGGATCACGATTGATCAGGAAGGTGCCTGGCAGCCCTTTGGTGCTTTAAACTCCCTTTAATCCTAGGGAGGGTTATAAGACCTGTGCCAACCCACTCCTTAACCCCAAAATGCAAAGAAATATTCAGGTTTCATCTGGAGACCTGACTGTTACAGGTGTTTAAAAAAAAAACAAACCAAAATACTTTTGAAGTATCAAGCCCCTCCAGCACCCCCCAAAGTGTGTGTTGGTGGAATCTCTGCTGCAAATACACAGGATTTTGGTGCAGCTGTGCCTGGAACTCTGCATTCAGTTGTGTTCAGCTCCCAGAAGAGGGCATAGAGAGGGCCATGGCTGTGTTTTGTGCTCAGCTTCTAGCCTTGGTATCAGCAAAACTATTTCTTATCCCTCATGGTATTTGACTTGATACTCTCTCAGACTTCAAATTTTGAAGGCTGCCCGTATGCAGATTAATTTTTTTGTGTGTGTTTTGAAGACTTTCATCTCTTCCTACCCATTTCAACTGGGTGTTTCTTTAAAAGGAAGCAGGAAACCTTGGATAAGATGCTTTGTGTTAACTGCTTTGCTTCCTAGCAGGCTCTGCTTCCAAAGTGCAGGTGCTGAATGGTGACTCCATCCTGGGGGAACATCCTGCATCCAACCTTTCTTCTCCAAGGGTTGAGTGCAGATAATGTTTTTGGGAGTCTCACCTACCTTCACCTGTGTCGGGTCACTTCTGACCCAGGGAAAGTGTCAGCAATGTGGTGGGAGCTGTAAAAGCTGCCAGAGTTCTCCCTAGATGAGGGTAGAGTCAAGAAGGCTCTGGAATGCTGAGAGAGGGAAGCACTGAGAGCACATGTAACCCCAGCAGAGCTGCCTCTGGCTGGTGTGTGTCTCGTGGACAAAGCTCAGAGCAGCTCTGTGAGGCTCCAGTTACAGTCACAAGTAGGAGCCCAAAAGTTTACGTGTCTGAAAGTGTCAAGTCAGCTCCATGTGGCTCCAAAGGCTGCAGTCATAACAGACCTGGGGAGGAGAGATGAGTTCATCCCAGTCCTGAAACTGGTGTGGGAATTGCAGTCCTGGGAAGAGCAGAGGTTGCAGTCAGAGCAGAAGATCTACGTGTGCTTCATCTGCTGAAATGACTCCTGGCTGTTGTGTTTCAACTTGGGGTCCTGTTGGTTCATAGAATTACAGGATGGTTTGGGTTGGAAGTGACCTCAAATCTCTCCTCATTCCACCTCCTGCCATGGGCAGGGACACCTTCCACTAGCCCAGGTTGCTCCAAGCCCAGTCCAACCTGGCCTTGGCAGGATTCGAGTCAGGATTGTTCTTTTCCTTTCTGAGCTGAACTTTCACTCCTGTCACTTGGCCTCAGAGAGCAGCTCCAAGGAATATTGCAAGGGCAGCCACTCTTGCCTTCTTTCCCTTTATCCCAGCATCTGATCTGGTTGTTCCCTTGGCATGTGCCATTTGGGCTGGTTTAGAGCCCAGCTGATGGAGTTCTGTCTGATCCCTGGTGTTGTCACCCTGCAGGACAGCCCCAGGGTGGGTTGCTGCTCTTGCTTCAATGGGTCTCTTTGAGTGGTGAGAGGCACTGATGCAACTCCCAAGTCTTCAGAAATGTGCCATTTTCCTCTGTCTGGGGGGGAGAAACTGGCTGACTGGCATTTTAAGTTCACTTAAATTCAAGAAGCAATGCCAAGTGTGGTCTCTGTGAGAACATTTGGTGGAGCTTTCAGTTGTCTGTGGTGGTCCTGAAATGGCCTCGTGATCCCCATCACTCCTCTGTTGCTTTAGGGGCATCTTGATATGTGTTTTGAGTTCAGGATCAATTGGATGAAGGTCACAGCTGTTTGCTCTTCGTGTGTTTGGGAGCATAAAGCTGCTGGAGTGGCTGGAGCTGTTAATACCACAGGTTAAAAAGTAATTATATATTGCATTACTTACGTGAATTGTGTCACGTTGGTTAAACATACCAATGGACTACAGTTAGCAGAGGGTGAGTTTTGCCTTTCAGTAAAATAACTTGATATTTTAGTGAGCAGTTTTCTATATCTGCAGCAAAGCAGTTTTTCTGTGTGTAACCTCTAGCTATAGTTTTAAATCCTAAAGGTGATGGGCGCACAGGATTTTCCCAGCTGTGTGTTCCAAGGTGTGACAGATGTTGGGAGTGCCTCAGAGACTTGAACTCTTGTCTGTTTTTCTTTTTCAGATGTGCTGAAAGACATTATGACACCGCCAAATTTAACTGCAGAGGTATGTTTTCACTGTTTGATATGTGTCCTCTTTAAACTTCAGTGAATGAAGGGCTAAAGGAGGAGCTGATGAAGAGTCATGTAGGAGATCTGGGCACCAGGAATGATGTCAGATTGCTTTGAGTCATTGGAAAAACTTGCTGTGTTCTTGGGGCTTTCAGAAAATGTTCCTGACAGTTAAAGATCAGGACCTAATAAGAAATGTACTGCTGCAAAAATCTTTGCAGGAGGGGTTATAGAGAAGTTTCAGTTCAACGAGCAAACTTATTGTACAATTTACACGTGAAGCTCTGGAGGAGTCTGGTTCTTAGGAAGAGTAAAAATGGAGAACACTTAAACCACCGTCACTGTTTGTATAAAGCAGCTTTTTGAAGATCTGACATAACCTTCAGGTGCTTAAAAAAAAAAATTAATTCCCGTGTGGTGCCTCTTAGAGATGAGCTGGGTTTGAGTGAGACACTTTGCAGAGCTACTAAAACCAGCAGGGAAACTTTCAGGAGGGCCTTTTGACCAGGTCTTTGGTGAATGGATATTGATATGCCTGTTGTGTCAGTATTAACTCCCCAGGTAATGAATAAATACAGATTTACCTTCATTCTTTGGGCAGAGGAACTCTCTGGCCACAGTAGCAGAGCTGCCTGGGTGGGTGAGGAGTTCTTTTGTCTGCACAATTGTAGGAGATGACCAAATTTTGGCAGTGTGGGCTAATCCTACATCATAGCAAGAGCTCAGCTTCTTTTTTTATTTTTTTTTTTAATTATTATTATTTCAAACCATCCTTCTAGTTATAAAAGAGGGGTTTAGAATGTGACCAAAATATAATTGGCTGCTTTAATGTGTGAATATAGAAGGACCAAAATTGTCATGTTGAAGCCATCATCACTTCTGATTTGCTCCCACCGTGCTGAATGACATGTCCTGAAACCTCACTCCATATATAAAAGCCAGGAAAAAAAAAGTATTTTAAGATGTGCTTGAGCAGTGCTTTGGGTGAGGAGAGAAAAGGCGTAAATGAAAAGGACGTGGTTCTAATATGGCCAGAACATATGTTTGCTTTAATTTATGCTTTTTGATAGGGAGGTGTCAGATCCCTGCACTGTCAATCCCAACCCAAAGTGTTGTTTGTGACAGCACCTTTCACAGCTCCTCTGCACATGTAGCATTTTTTTTCTTTTCATCCCTGAATTAGTTAACCTTAGATAACCAAACTGGTGACTCAGGACTTCCCTTAGCAGAGGAACAACAGCTCTACTTTGAAATCCCCTGAAGTGAATTAATTGCAGAGGGAACTTCTTACTTGTACATTTAGCATGAAACACCAGAGTAGTTCATTATTCACCTTGGATGCTCTTGCATCAAATTAAACCCTAAAAAGCTCTTCATCTTCTTTGGGAATTTGCTTTCTGTCCCGGGTTTTGCAGTTCCCAGAGTACTTCTGTGCTGGAAATTACCTTCTGCTTTGCCACAGACTTTCCTTTTTTTTTTCCCCACTCCTTTATATGCTGTGGGATTGGAGAGAGTGATCAGGCTCATGCTCCAGTGTTAGGAATCAAAATCCACCGAGGACCTGCACCTTCTCAAGGACCAGCTCAAGGCTGGTGAATGTTTCCTTCCTCTTAATCCCCCCACAACATCACAGGGCACCCATTTCATCTTCAGCTCATTCCATCTCTGAAGAAATTGCCACGAGGTTTGCCTTTGATCCCAGACCTTGGAGAGCACCTTCAGCATGCTGTGACTTCTTGGGGTTTTTCAGGCTGCTCTTCCAGGACTGTTTTACTCCCCTTTCCGTGGGAACCTTGCTGGCTGTAATTACAGGAGACTCAGAGCTGGATGGACAAATTTGCAGCGTTTTTGCAGCTTCTTTTCTTAAGGATTTCTAAGTAAATTCCTGCTTTCACTTACATCTGCAAAAAATGGCATCTCTGAGTTCACATAAAATGATCCTTTGGGGAGTCTTTGGATCTTCCATGTGGGAGAATTTATTAGTTGTGTGTTCATGTTGGTGAACCTTCGTTGTTTCTTTAGCAAAGATTGTTCACTTTGTTGGGCTTCCCTATTTGGTCTTGTGGGAGAAGTGAATAAACTGTCCTTGTAGATCCTTGCAAAAGGCTTCAGCCTTGTGCTGCAGTCATTTAGCAGTTCCATAACTTCATCCCTCACTTCTGCTCTTTTAAGTCCTTGGGGATTCATCAAAAGGAGCCTTGTGTGTGTGACCAGAGAGTAGGGCTTACGAAACAAATGCAGACCCTTGCCAAAAAATGGAATGTATTCATTTTTAGCCCAGAAAAGGAAATGGTGTTCCTAGCTGAGAATTTTTTCAGCGAACCAGAGTTGTGTTTATAAGATCCCAAGGCAGATGGAGAATTGGGGTGCACTTCATCAAGTGCCTTCTCCTGGTGAAACTAAAACATCCCTTGGAATTCTGCTGGTCAGCCTGACATTGTCTGTCATGTGATCTGAAGTGGTCAAAGTCTGGGTGCTTCTCTCTGCTTATTTTTTGCTCTCTCTCGTTTCCTTTCGTTTCCGGCGTGAAATTCTTTCCATCTCCAGATGGAACAAAGTGTGTGTGTGTGTGTGAATACACCCGTGTGAGAAAGGAGGACTGCAAACCCCACAAGTATTGCCAGTGTTTTATATGGGCTTTCTCTCTTGATTACCATTATTTTTTTTAAATATGGAAATGGCAGGTTTTTGTTTCAAAGCACCTTTGAGAGTTTGTTCCCAATGCAGACCCGACTGTGCTCAGTTATTTTTCAGCAAAATTCCTGCTGCCTGCCCAGTGACTGAGGTCTGGCCCTATTCTCTCTCAGCAGGTAGTTTAATTATTGCTGGAGTAATGGGTTTCCACAAGGCTATTCTTTGTGCCAGCACGCTCTGAAATTCTAGAAGATTCCTGTTGCAGAGCCTGTGCCTCTCATTTCAATAGAGGTGTGAAATAGTTGCTTCATGGAGCAGGATTCTTATGGATTACTAGAGAAATGTCTGCAGTGCTTATAATATACTGACTAATATTAGAATAAAAAATAGATACCTATATGTAAATGGGGGGGGGGGTTACTTAATAAGTTAATTTTTACATGTTTGTCACAGAGTTGCTCTGTCTGAGCTCGCTGCATTCCCCTTTGACATTCTGATGAATTCCTCCTTCTCCTTGCAGTTGCACAGTACCCTTTTGAAGACCATAACCCACCACAGCTGGAGCTCATCAAACCTTTTTGTGAAGACCTTGACCAGTGGCTGAGTGAAGATGACAATCATGTTGCAGCAATCCACTGTAAAGCTGGAAAGGGACGAACTGGTGTAATGATTTGTGCATATTTGTTGCATCGAGGCAAGTTTTTAAAGGCTCAAGAAGCCCTAGATTTCTATGGGGAAGTAAGGACCAGAGACAAGAAGGTGAGATACTCCCTGTTCTTCTGTTCCCCTCCCTGTAACTTGCTGCTTTTCCTCCTTGAGATCATTTTGATGCTCCAACCCTTAAAGAAAAATACTTCCCATCAGTTGTGATATCTGGTTTGATTTAGCTTTAATATTAGCAGATCAGTGCAGTTATAAATGAAAAAGCTTTCCTAAGCAGTAGCAGCAACTAGCACAACACTAACACAGCCTGGTTTTTCCATCTCCTGTTCAAGAAGACCTGGACAGTCTATTTTAAATAGCTCTTTCAACAGAGTTCTGCTGTGTGTTACATCAGGTGGACAGTCCATGAGGGAACTTTCTCGTTCAGCATTTTTGCCCCAAATAAGAGGATTATTCCAGCTTGTTTTGCCTGAATGGATGAGCTGTTCATCTCCTCAGGTTCTTTTGACTTCTGTGGTGTTGTTTGGAGATGTGTAGGCATTACAGTTGAATATCCCTACTGTAGGAATATACTGGCATGTTGTTGGATGCCCCTTTTCAATAGAAGGGTAGTTAAGCACCTTTCTGGCCTTGTTATCCCTCAGTAATGGGAATTTCACCTCCTTATTTGAAATAAGTTGTGAATTGCAAGGTCACCTGAGCAAGCTTCCCTGCTCATCTTTCATCATTTCCTTGAGTATGTTGGTTGAGCATCCCAAAGGGATCATCCCAGCAGGGCAGTTGTTCCATCTCCTCAAGTACAGAGCTCTCTCTGTTCCCGTAATGTTTGCACAAAGTCTTAATTTCACAGTGTGAAGACCTCTAAAAAGCAGAGCTTCGTGTCTGAAGGCTCTTGAGAGCAGAAGTGGCACATGAGGAATTCTGGGATTTGGCTGTTAATTCACTGGAAGGAGCAAGTAGCTCCTTAGTTTGCTCCCTGGGCAAGGTGGAGCTGTTACTCCTTGGGCTGCTGAGTTGGTTGTGGTGTAACACCAGAGCAGAGGTGCTGTCAAAGTCTCCCATCAGAACTTTGAGGCTTTTGGTGAGAGTCCCTGCCTAGGGATGAGTGGTGTGAATAAACACAGTAGATTCCTCCTGCTGATGAGGGTTATCTCAAGAGCTGGATAAAGCAGCCCGAAAACCACAAAGCTGAAGAAATGCAGGGTAAAAAGGGTGTTGTGCCTCAGTTTCCCTCTTGGAAAAAGGTTGTATTCCTGCACATCACTGTGGTGGGATAAGGGCAGCTGGGTGTTCATCAGTACCCCAGTGATACCTTGGGCAACTTGGAGATAAGGGAACCTTAGTGAGAATAGTGAGAGCCTTGTTTAGCTTTACTCTAAATACTGTCTGTGACCAGCACTTTGTTTTGGTTTAGATGTCTCTACTGGAAGAGTTGATTTTTTTTTTCTTCTTTTTTTTTTCCTCCCCAGCTCCACTTGAGCATGGTTATCTTGATGTGGCCAGTGGGCAGCATTTGATTCACATAATCCTTCAAATAGTGTTTATAAACAGGTATTCCAGTGCAGGTTCTGGGAGCCTTTTCCTCCCTTGTGGCCCATATTTCAGTGTTATATGTCAAGTGCTGCTCTCTGATTTGCTCTTTCACCACACCTTTATATAACTGACTTCCTGAATTCGAAGCAAATGAGGCATCAAAAGAGCTGTTTGCATCTAAGGATGAGCAAATGCCTCTTCTCTTTTTTAGTTTATTTTTCCAGAGCAACCTGTGTATGATGAAGGAAAACTGGCTTTAATCAGGCACCAAATTTTCTTGGTTTAAAGCAAGAACAAGGCACACTCTTTGCATGTAGCTGCTGAGAACAGCCCAGCTCAAATCACTGTTGCCATTAATGTTCATGGCAGAGTGATTCTTGGAGGGTTCAGTCGGTGCTGGCAGGAAGTGTGAGTCTGATTGCAGGAGGAAGTGTGACTAATTGGCCAAGGGAACGAGCTCTCAGACTTCTGGAACAGGCTTTTTTTCCCAAGTGCCTGCTGGGAGAAGCAGCTTCAGGGAGGCCTTTGCACCGTCCAGTGAGAGCTGTTGTAGGTGAGGCCGAGAGTTGTGCTGTCCTGGGGAATTAAGAGGTTGCAAAACTGAGTCTACAAAAAGACTGGGACCAAAGCCTGCCGTGGGGGTTGGTTTATATTGCCTGGATAAGCTGCCTCTTGACTTCTCTAACTCGGGTAGTGGGGGAAACTTTTTCAGAAGAAGGGAATGATGAAGATTAGAAGGTATTGACTGCTGCTGCCTTGATGGCTTTTGTGGTGAGGATTAGGCTGGGAAGGAAGCACAGTGTGGACAATGGACAGGTATCAGCTGGGAACAAGTGGGGCTGGAGCTGGAGATGATCCATTCAGGAGCATTGTTTGACTATTATATTGTTGTATTTTCAAGAATGACTCCTAAGAGCTTTTTTATGAGGAAAGGCTGAGAAAATTGAGATTGTTCAGCCTGGAGAAGAAAAGCTTCGGGGTGACTTAATTGTGACCTTCCAGGACCTGAAGGGAGCCTGCAAGAAACATGGAGAGAGGCTCATTGCAAGGCCTTGGAGTGCCAGGACAAGGGGGAATGGGTTCAAACTGCCAGAGGGCAGGGTTAGGTGGGATATTGGGAAGAAATCCTTCCCTGGAGGGTGGGGAGGCCCTGGCACAGGTTACCCAGAGAAGCTGTGGCTGCCCCTGGATTCCTGGAAGTGTCCAAGGCCAGGTTGGATGGGGCTTGGAGCAACCTGGGCTAGTGGGAGGTGTCCCTGCCCATGGCAGGGGGTGGAACTGGATGATCTTCAAGGTCCCTTCCAAGCCACAGCATGCTGTGATACTGTGATTCTGTGGCAGTGGTATAACTGAACAGGAAATGCAAACCAACTCTTTTGTGTGAGGAAGTCTCAGAATGACTCTGTGAGCAGGGCAGGGATCCCGTGGCTGATGGCAGAGCTCAGCACTTGTGATTTCTGTTTGTTGGATGTGCTCAGGTGACAACCTCTGCTAAACCTCATGCCCCAAGCCTAGTGTGAGCCTGCAGCTTTACTCTCACAGTAGAGCATGTTATTGAAGTGAATGTGGGAGTATTACTTCCAAAAATGTTTGTTCTTCATGATACTGCCTGTGCTACATTGAGAGGAGAACCAGGAGCAGCACCTGACAGTTTTTGTGATGTCTGCACTGCTCACCAGTGCCCTGGGAAGCTCTGCTACAAGAATTAGAGAAGCTTATCTGACATCCATTTAAAAATGGTGGCAGTGATAGATGGGAAATACCAGCTTCTCAAGGAGAACATACTTGAACTACTTCCCTGTCCTTATTCTCCTGGAGTAAAAGTGAGCAGGGGTTGATTGTAACTCTTGGAATATTATTAGCTCTTTATGAAAATGTTCTACTTGGAATTCAGACCTTTGGAAAAGGAGAACTCTGAGTTTTGCTTCAGTGTGCCTGGTTCTTGGGGTGTCTTAACAGGAAAGGCTGTGTCTCCAGGGAGTAAATCTCTTTGGCTGGAGGGCTAAAACTGCCTTGTTGGACAAGAAGTGGATTTGCTTTGGGATTGACAAGCACTGTGAACGTGACTGTGCTCCCTTGGCTCTGGTCCCAGCCTTGGTTGTTCTGGTGGGGTGCTGGGGTTTCTCTGTAGGACACGTCCTTCAGGACAGGAGGGAGCAGTGAGCAGAGAGGTTTGTCTTCTCCTGACCTGCCTGGTTTTCTTCTGCTTGGCAGTGTTGGCAAACTCTGCTGCTCTGCTCTGAGCCTGGGCTGTGCTCAGAGCCCAGGAAAGCAAGGGTGAAAGCTCCCTTAAGAAGTGGGTGTGATAACTGCTGAGGACATCTGAGCCAAAACCACGGGCAATGTAGAAGGCTTAGGAAGGTCATTGTACAAGTGCTGCAGGGAAAGGTCTTTTGTGTAATCTAGAAGCAGCTGAAGTGATAAGGAGGCATAATTATCAACATTTTTTTTTAATAATGGCAGGAAGTGACTATTTTCATGTGTGCAGAATAGAGATTTGCTAAATTGAAAGTACTCTGGCCACTCTAAGCTTATGGCTGCTGTGAGGTGAAGCAGGTGAAACTTAAGAGCTTGTAGAAATAGCTTGGGGTAGGTTTTATGACCAAAATGCTCACAGACTCATGTATGAAAACCTTTTGCTTATTTTTATTTATTGTAATCCCACCCAGCTTTAATCAGAAAATTTACTTACTGATGCTGTTGTATGTAATACAGGTTATTATAAATGTAAGGCATTTTCTGGGAAATGAAATAATTTTTCATCTTTCTCACTTTTGCTTGAAAATGTTAGCTGTAAGAGCTTTAAAACTGTTCCCTTACTCGAAGCTTTAAGCTGACTGAAAATCAGTAATGAAAACATTTGTAGGTTATATGCTCTCAAAGCAAATATTTGCTTTAGAGTTGTAACAACTGAAGTCTTTCATTGCACACTTTGGGCTGTAGGGCCTATTGTAATGAAACTTCCCAGCTTTTTTGGGGGAAAACATTTCAGAGGAACGTTAGAAGGCAACATCTGTCCCGAGTACGGTGATATTAGTAAACATCAGAATCTTTTGACTTAAACTGCTGTCAAAATGTAATTCCTCTAGTGGTGCTTAAAAATTAGAGTATGTTCAAGGCACCTCCTGCTTAACACCTCACACTGCCCCCTCCAAAAAAAGCAGGAGCATGACCCTCAGGATGTCTGCAGGGTTTGTTTTTAAGATATGGGAAAAATCTGCCTTCTTTTCCTCATTACTGGGGGTGGATGTTGGGAGAGCACAGAATCGTGGATTGGTTTGGGTTGGAAAGAACCTTGAAGCTCGTCTAAGTTCCAGCCCCATCCAACCTGGCCTTGGACACTCCCAGGGATCCAGGGGCAGCCACAGCTTCTCTGGGCAACCTGTGCCAGGGCCTCCCCACCCTCCCAGGGCAGGATTCCTTCCCAATATCCAGTCTAATCCCACTCTCTGGTCAGTGGGAAGCCATTCCCCTTGTCCTGTCACCCCAGGCCCTTGTCAGTAGTCTCTCTCCATCCTTCCTGTCGTCTCCCTTCAGATCCTGCAAGACCACAGTTAGGTGACCTCAGAGCCTTCTCTTGTCCAGTCTGAACAATTCCAATTCTCCCAGCCTTCCCTCAGAGCAGAAGGGCTCCAGCCCTTTAGGATGTACTAAAGTTACTGGAAAACCAGTGCCCTGCTTGTTGCTGGAGACTGGTTGCTGATGATTCCCCTGTTCCTTGGTGGTCCCTTTGCCCTCAGGGGTATCTGAGGAGCAGGGCAGGAGCTCTCTCAGTGATGCTGATGAACGATCACAGTTTCTGACACTTGTTTTCCCTCTGTTTAGGGAGTGACAATTCCCAGTCAGAGACGCTACGTGTACTACTATAGCTACCTGTTAAAGAATCACCTGGATTACAGACCAGTGGCACTGCTGTTCCACAAGATGATGTTTGAAACAATTCCCATGTTCAGCAGCGGAACTTGCAGTAAGTACCCGGCCCCCGGTGGGAAACGTGGGCCTTGGGCGTGGTGATGGCACCAAGAGCTGCACACCTCCATGGAGAAGGTCACACTTACACCCCTCACCTTCCAAAATCTGCTGGGTTAGTGTGGTCTGTCTGCTGGGATCCTCCCAGGTGGGGTAACTCGAGGTCTGGGAGGGACTCGGGATTGTTTTACTGCAGTTTGAAACTGGGGAGTGTTTGATGGTTTGAAGATCAGTGATGCCATATACAGAGTCAGTTAGGTTGGAAAAGACCTCCAAGACCACGGAGTCCAACCTCTGACCCATCACCACCTTGTCCACCAGAGCAGAGCACCGAGTGCCACGTTCCTTGAACACGCCCAGGGATGGTGACCCCACCATCCAATATATTTATATTTCAATATTTGCTCCTTACTTTTATAAAAAGCCTCCTTTTTTTAAAATACAGCAACTCTTGGGAAACATGAATTGCTGCAAAACATTTGCTTAATGGCGTGTTGGCTTCAAATGCAACAACATCATTCTCCCCATGATGTTTAAAAAAATAAATGAATCAGTTCAACTGGGTAAATATCTAATTAACTCTGGAATAAACTTTTCTTTATGTGGAGGCTTCTAAAGCCTGGAATACACCTGTAAATGATTAACCTGATCTGCTGGTACACTGTGTTAGGGAGGAACAGCAGATTTCTTGAAGCTCTGTAATATAAATACAAACTCTGCTGTCCTGTGGGCTGCGTGACAGGGCAGTAACTGCCTAGTGCTGCGTGCTCATTTTTTTGGTGGTGGAAAAAATCTTTCTGGTGGTTTTGCTATGGGGATTACAGCAATGTGTAATTAATTCCAGTGCCTCCTGTGGCTTTGATTAAAATGGGCCCTGTTAATATTGTTGTGAGACACTACCTGAACACGTAACACACAGAAGAAACAATCGAGCAAGTTGTCAGGCTGGGCTGAGGAGGAGGAAGGGAGGAGCCTCTGCCAAAAAACCTCTGCCTCTAGGGGAGAGGTGTGGAGGTTACAGATTTCTGCAATTACCACTTATTTAATGTTTTGGATAAACTGTGCTGTACTTGCCAAATGAAGCTACAAGTCTGAATCACTCGTGTGAGCATTGACTTGGGTGTCCATGGCAGGCTCTGGGTGTGCTGTTTTCATGGGATGAACAACAGATTTGCTAAGCACCTGAGAAGGCAGATGAACTATCAACTTCAGCATCTTTGTCTGCTGCAATATTTTAAGTTTCTCTGGAGTTTTCAGTGATTTTTCAGAACGTCAAACCCGTGGGCTGTGTTGTTTCTTTAGCTGCATTATCGACTGCGATGGGAGGAATTTTACACTGAGCACAGTATCTTCAAACCTGACTTCCTGGTTATCATTGTGCTGTTCTAAAGTCACTGACCAAGAAGGGTTGTGCCTCTCAGGCAAAATGAAAGGATGTCAGGGTTTCACAGCTCTGAGGATTTGAGGGAGATAAGGTGAGAGAGTTGGGGCAGTTCGAGCCTGGAGAAGAGAATACTGGGTAGAGACCTCACAGCACCTTCCAGGACCTGAAGGGGCTGCAGGGAAGCCAGAGGAAGACTCTTATCAGGAACTGTGGTGATAGGACAAGGGGGAAGGACTTGACACTAGCAGAGGGGAAACTTAGGTTGGAAATATGGATGAAATTCTTCCCTGGAAGGATGGGAGGCCCTGGCAGAGGTTGCCCAGAGAAGCTGTGGCTACCCCTGGATCCCTGGAAGTGTCCAAGGCCAGGTTGGACAGGGCTTGGAGCAACCTGGGCTAGTGGGAGGTGATCCTGCCCAAACCATTCCGTGTCTCTCCGAGTCTGTAACAGTTTCACAGCTGGGCTGTTCAGCAGGATAATGTGGATGTGCTCCATAGGGATTCCCACAGCTCTGCAGGGGTGTCTGGCAGTTTCCAAAGAAACCCTGCTTGGACTGCACTAAAAGCCTCTCATAATGTCCCTGTTACCCCTGCAGATTTAATTTGGGAGTTCTGCTGTGGCACTTCTTTGGTGCTGGTGATATATACAGGACCAAGTCGGTGCTGGTTGGTTTTGTATCTTCATGTTCGATTCTATCCTTTGTTTTGTTTGTTTAACAGTTGCATTTGTGTAAGAGTAGAAGTTTGTGCTGACATGACCACCCACTCTACAATTGGAAGAAGAGATGAGAGAGAATAAAACCCCTCAGATCCATGTGATGCAGCACACAAAGAACATCAAATAGTTGTCACTTCATGTAGTTATTTCTTACTATATTGAAAACAACGACTTCCTAGGAGCTCTGGTTGCCTGAAAGTATTGCCATGAAGGACAGAAATCTGTTGTTTGCAGTAGCCTCTAGAAAAGTTTGATGCCCTGTGGTGCTTAACACTTAAAAGATATTTATTTAACTTTGAAAATATCATGGTTCTGCTGCTAATATTGTGCTTTTTGACACTTTGGAGGCATTTCTTACAAAGTGACTCTCTGTTTTGCCGTGCAGATCCTCAGTTTGTGGTGTACCAGCTCAAGGTAAAGATATTCACCTCCCCTTCAGGACCCTCGAGACGTGAAGACAAGTACATGTACTTTGAATTCCCTCAACCTCTGCCCGTGTGCGGTGATATCAAAGTGGAATTCTTCCACAAACAGAACAAGATGTTGAAAAAGGTTGGTTTCCTTGCTTTTTCTGGAAAATGGTGTCGAGCCTGATGCAGGGCTGGTACTCTGGTTCTTCTTCAGGGATGTGTAATCACAGTGTTTAGTTCTTTGATTCTTTAATCCTTCAAGTTTTCCCAAGGAGCAGATCCACCACCGAAGGAAAACTGGGTGTTTGGAGAGAGAGTTGGTGAGATTAAGTACAAAGGTTGGATAAAAATGATCCTGGATATGCATTGCAGTCGTTTGGGTAGTAGTGAGTAATCTAATTGAGGAAGAAACATTCTCAGCCTAAAAATAGACTTGCATACTGAGCAAGTTAACTCCAGCTGTTTTCTTCACTAAATTTTCCTAAGGTTTTGAGCAGGCACAGAAGATCCTGTCTGTGCTGTTGGCTGATTCCTACCCATCTGTCAGATGTAGTTGAATTTCTGAGATAATTAAGTTCCTACGCACTCGGTAAAAGTATCTCTGCAGTCTCTTCAACCACCTCTCTGTTCCTGGCTGCAATGCCTCCACTTCAGAGAATTCACTCAGCACTGAGGATTTTATCAGCTGTGGAAAGAAATTAAATCTAGAACTTATTTTGAAACCAAGTTCTTAAAGCTGAATGGCTCCTCTCTGGGGTTCATTAGTTCTGGTGCTTGTGGTACCAGTTTGCATCTACCAGAGTGAAAGGTGAGGATGAGACCATGTTGATCAAAGGCTGCCTTTGTATACTTGCTGCTTAAAATTCTTCATCAGTAGTTACTCATGGTTTAATGGGGGTTCTAAAACTTGAGAGCATCCAGTGAGTGAGTTCTGTATACAGGCAGGGCCTAAAAATAAGAAATCCTGGAGTGGATTGGGAGACAAAACATCAGTGATCAGTCTCTTAAAACTGAGCATGCAGGTTGTACCTAGTAGCTGTGTGTAAATACACATGCACACTGTTTTGTGTGTTTGTTCAGGTACCAGGTGTTGTTAACAAGTTTAATCTGTGTGCTGATGTCTGCAAAAGTTTTGAAACTGTTTCTCAGTGGGACTGTTTTCTGTTTAATGAGACGTTTTAGTTGGTCAGTGCAGCTATATGCAATACAGTGTCTGTAAAACACAACTTTTTAAAAGTAGAAATTCTGCTTTCGAGTCAGCATTAAGATTATTGGCATTTCAAACAGCAACACAGAGCAGCCACTTTTGGGAACAGGAGCACCCAGATTGGTACTGTGGGCTAGACATGAGGGATGCAGGGAGGAGATAATACAAAACCCAAACATCTGAGACAAGGCCCTGTTTTATCTGCACTCTGTCCTATCTGGACTGTGAATTTGCTGGGGTTTTACCATCTCCAGTAGCACAGGGATTGCAAACAGGCACTATAGGGAGCATTGTGCTGCCCTGCCCACCCCAGAAATCCCAGTGTGCGGGTCAGCTGCTGGATCTGGGCCCTGTGGCCTCAGGAACACACTCCTGTGTTTGTTTTACCCCTGGAGAGAGCACTGAGATCCAGTGACAGCAGAAACTGGAGCTCCTGGTGAGCACACACCATTTCTGCTGTGTAAATTTGGTCTTCAAGAGCATGTAAAGCCTCAGAACCCCACAGCAGGAGTGTTACTGGGCCAAACTTTCATTGCAGTGTCAAAGATTGTGGTTTCATTTCTTAAGAGTCCCTTTGTAGTTTCTGAGGAGCTGGTTGATGTATTTTTTTTTCTTTTTGTGTATTCTTACCAAGCACCAGGACTGTTTGGGTTCTGTGGGTTACAGGTAATGCAGAGGTGCTCCTTTTCTCAGTGTTCTTGACCTGTTAGGGTCAAGAAGTGGTGAAAGCTCTTCTTTTCACACCTGCAGACTTTTTTGAGATAGAAACCCTTCACCAGACAGTAAAGAAACCACCTTGACAATCAAATATCTGTTGAACTGACTATCTGATTGCCTCAACTTTCAGTACCAATGGAGGCTAGAAGGAAGTAGGTGTGAGATGTTCCCCAGTTCTGGTAAGATCACCTCTCTCAGCTCTGCTGGAAACACAGGCAAGAGCAGATCCTTCCACATGGTCCTTTGACAGCTTGTTACATGAAAAGGTGGGAACAGGGCAAAGGTGAATATTGGTGACAGAAAAACCTACCTTGGCTCAAAGTTGTACACATTTCTCTGTCCAAGTGTTTCACTTCTCTGCCTGTTCCTTTTCTAGATCAACTGACTACACAGCTTTTACTCAAAACCCCCAAAGTGAGGGCCTTCCAGTGGGGAGACTTGTGTTCCAAAGCTCACCTCTGTGCAGGGATCACCTGATTCATGAGGAGCAGTATAATTAGGAGTAACAGGATCTTATCTTCCAGAGGTTCTGGCTTAGTCACCAGGTTTATGAAAGGTGGAATTCCAAGTCTGTTGCCTGTCTCTGGTTCTTGTCCTTCCCAGGTTTTCTGTTAGCAGATTTATGGGTAGCTGTGCAAGTCTTAAAAGACATCCCATATTTACCAGTCTGCATTTTAACTTTAATATAATAAAAAAACTAATAAGATCGATTAAAAGTGTTATTCCTGATCCATTCTGAGCCTCAGGCTGGGGAATGACTGTGTCTCAGCCTCTGGAGAGAAAGAAAACTTCTGTGTCCTCCTGCTGGGCCTGGGCTGGTGTTTGACAACACAGACCTCAGCTGAAGTGCCCCAGATTCCCTCAGCATTACTTGCTTCCATAGTTCTTAATCCTTTGGAGAGCAGCAGCATTACCTGCAGAGCTCTCTAGTTGGGAGGGTCCTCCCGAAGTTTGATCAAGCTCTTTTTGGATAAATTATTATGCAGAAACCAAATCAAAGTGGAACAACCAAGGGACTTTAAGCACCCAGTGTTGCAGAGGCAGTGTGAAACTTAAAACAACCACACGTCCTGCCTTTTAATGGCAAAAGTTAATTTTGGTGGCTGTTGAGGGCTGACCTCAGCCAAAGGATTGTTGGTAAGGGGGTGACTGCTTTGGAAAAGTTTCCCTCTTTCAGCTCTTCCACAGTCTCTGCCACCTGGCATCAGTTAGGAAGTCCAGAGCTTTTGGTCTTTTCTTGTCTAATCAAGTTGTTTACTTTATTCTCAGACCATTTCTTCAGTGTGATGTAGCTACTTCCTTTCAAGAATGAAATGCATGCCCACATGAGAACAAAATGGCTTGGGGCTCCAGTACAGTTATTGTGTATGAATTTCTGATGGATAGAATTTAGCAATCTGGGGGATTTTTTTTTGAGCGTGGCTTTTTGTTGTCCTGCTTTGTAGCTTGACTGTTCTTCCATCTCAGGCTGCTGCCACAGTCTCTCTAGGTTTGCTTCCATGTATCTATGCAGAGCCTTTTTTCTTCCAGTTATTGATGCTGACATGATAATTTTTAAGTATTTCAGAGTATCCTTAGATCACTTGGTTCAATGAGAGTCTGTTTAAAAATAATACAGAAGATCTCCTAATCTTCCTGCCTCCAGAGCCTGGGGGTGAAGGAGACCTTTCTCAGGAGTCCTCCCAGTACAGATGAGAGGGAAATGCTGCTGTGGGTTTACTTTGTAGGAGTCAGTGGTGTTTTAGTGCCAGTCTCCAACGTGGGCAGGGCTGACAGCATTGTTAGAGCAGTTGTGTTTCAGCTCTCCAGTCTGGAGATGAGAAGTTCTGCTTCATAGTTCAAGGAGGCTTTTGGGCAGTTGCTGTTTGGCAAACACTGAAGAATGAACTCTGAAAATGTCAGAAGACTTGAACTGTTGATCTGAAAATGGTACAAGAAGTTCCCTCAGCCATGACTGTGGGAAGGCTGAGGCCAGCCTGGAACAGGCTAAAACAGGATCTCCATGTCTTGGACAGCATCTCCAAACCCCTTGGTTTGCTGCAGAGTGACTGGAAGGGCCTGTAGATCTCTGCAAAGTAAACTCTCAGGAGGAGATAGGAACTCCTAACTGATGGCTTAAATGATCTTGGGTTGGATCTCAGCCTGCAGTTAGAGACAGGTCCCAGCTCTGGAGTGAAGAATGTTTTTCTGTCAGTGAGAGCTGAGAAGCTGCACGAGGTAGGAGTAGTCCTGTGTGTCACAATAGGGAGATTAAATCAGCTTTTTTTGGTAGATTTTATGGTACAGATTTGGTTATGGAAGAAGTACAGCTGCGATTTTTATTTTTTTTTTTAAGACAGATGTCTGTGATGTAACTGGAAGTGAAGCAAAACACATTGAAAAACAGTCTCCAATACTCTTTTTCAGAAGCCTATTCATTAAACTGTCTTATGTGAGCACTTGGTCTGGTATTTTGATTTGCTATATAAAGCCCAAATTCAGTTCATGCCTTGATTTTTAAAAATTCCTATCTTTGGCCCATATTACATCATCTTTCTTCGTTGTCTTGCATGAAATATCTTGGAGTCTGATGCTTTAGCTGAATCCTCACTTTGAATAAGAAGGTTTATTCAGTGCAAACAGTGACACTGTTATCACCCATAGGAGCTAATTCCAAAAAACCTGACCAAGTCTTCCCTCAATTTGAGTGGCTGTGCCATGTTCCAGGACCTGTGAACTCAGTTATTAAGCTAATTAAGTTACTGTAGTGGGAAAGAAAGGAAAATAACCCAATGCTTTACAAAGCTGGAGGGAGATAAAAGGAAAAATGACCAGCTCAGCTGAGTTGTATTGTTTAGTTTGAGTCCCTGAAGACCTCTGGAAATTTATCCCAAGGAAAACAGATTAAAAGCTGTCTAGCAAGAAGTTTGTCATCTGTCTTGTCTTCCCCAGCCTCTGTCTGTGGAGCTGAGTCCCTGCAGTTGCTTGTTCAGGCAGGCCCTCAAATGCCAAGTAAATCCTTCCTGGTTCTGCCCCCCGTGCTGGAGTTGAAGGTGAGGCATGACAAGCCCGTGCCTTCTGCTGGCATTGCTTCACATCCAGGGGCCTGGTTTTCTTTGGCACTGCTTCCTTCCACTGTTTTGAGCCACTTCCCATCCGTGTGCTGCACACTGGAGGTGACACAGGTGGCACTGAGGACCTGCACCAGTGGCAAAAGTGTTCCCAGAAAAAAGGCTTCCAACACAACTGTGATTACAGCATGTAAATTTGGCAGATCAGCTTGATTCCCAAAGGTGCTGGAGAGGCCTGTGGTGAAGTGGGTAACTTCTTAACTTCCAGCAGTGTTTCTACCTGAATTATTTGACTTCTGTCTCTGCCATTGCCCTTTGTTACAGGCTGGGAGTCTCTCGGGCGCTCACAGAAATGCACACAAGCTGGAAGGGTTTTTGTGGGCTTTACCTGAAACACTGGAAATGGGTCTGCTGACCTTTGGTAGAGAAGGCAGGCAGGTAGAAGTTGGTTGATCAGACACTTCTGAATGTCCAGGATTTGTGTACTTGTTTTTATTGATTTCTGAGGCAGGTGAATGTAAGTTAAGGTTCTGGAATGGAGCAGCAGATTCAGCAGGGATGCAGCAATACTGACCATTGTGGGGAGACTGGTCATTTATTTGCAGTTTGGATCTTTTGCTTGAAAACTCAAATCAGAGTCAAATGGCAGAGTTCCTTTGTGAGGAGCAAGTAAATACAGTTCAGCTTCAGAAGGAGAAATGCTTCATGTGTGAGGCAGGACCAACCTGCCAACCACAGCTGATCTTGGAAATGTCAGCTCTTGACTGGCAGAAGGGCAAGAGATGGAGAGCTAAACCAAGGGCATTCAGTGCATCCTATGGAGCTGTTGAGGGGAGGTTCCTGGGTGTATCACCCCCAGAGCTTGTCCAGCCAAGAACAAAACCTGTTGAGCACACAGGGAGAGAGATGCTCCCCTGCCAGTCCGAGTGGGGAGTGTGTGATGCTCTGGCCAATATCAGCTGGTTCTCCAGCCTTTAAAATCACTGAGACACTGATGGTTTGCCTCTTTGTACAGGTATAGCTGTGGCAGTGTCAGAGTGGGTAACCAAACTTGTACCTGTTGGTCATCTGTGAAGTTCTTCTTAAGCTGGATATACCTCAACTATCCCTGCCTCAGCTCCTCCTTAAAAACCTCCTGCTGAGCAGAAGGACAGCAGACACTGAGTCTGACTTCTCTTAGTACTGGTCAGTAAAGGTCTGACTGGTAGGAACCACCTCAGTAAAGCAGTAATGAATCCACAGCTAAAGGAGTCCTGGGTTTGTAGGGTGGTTTTGCTCAATTACAGCTATTTCTGTATAAAAATAAAGGAAAGCTTTCTGTTGGGGGGTAGACTCTTCTGTATTATCAGTGTTTAACTCACCTGAGCTGGTTTACTCGTGTTGTCTGTTAGGTTTGGCAATTGCTTGGCAAGGTGTGAAGCAAACAAAATCTGTTTATGCCTTGTGATTGCAAGTTTAAGACTTATTTAATTTCTTGTCATCCGCTTTTATTGTAGGTGTAAACCCAACTTTTGATAAGGAGTGACTTGTGAAAGCTTGATTGCTTAAAACTGAGCTTGATTAATGCAGAGTTTTGTGTGTTGTGCAGGAGATTTGGTGAAAATGTCTTTGCATGCAATGTAACCAATGATGTACTGTTGTCCAAACAAGTTTTGTCTGTTATTACCTATTTGTTTCTGACCAGATGATGATGATGATATTAGTCTAATGAATGTGCCACTAGTGAATACTAAAGCAAGCTTGTTTTTTGTGTTCTTCCTCCCCCAGGACAAAATGTTTCACTTTTGGGTAAATACATTCTTCATAGGACTGGATGAAAATTCAGACAAAGTAGAAAATGGAAGTCTAGTTGCAGATCAGGAACTTGATGGTATTTTCAGTACAGAGCGCTCAGATAATGATAAGGAATATTTAATCCTTACATTAACAAAAAACGATCTAGACAAAGCAAATAAAGACAAAGCCAACAGATATTTCTCTCCAAACTTCAAGGTCAGTATATATTCTGTCTGAACAAAGCTGAAAAGCTGCATGACTTGCTCTGATTTGTCTGTCTTGCCTCGTGGAGGGACCGTGTGAAACTGCTGGGTAGAGATTGAGTCCCTGTGTTGGTGTTGCCACCACTTAGCAAAGTTCTTTGCTTTGGATGTTTATCTGCTTTCTGGGAAGCTGATAGATGTTGAGAACTGGGATTAAAGCCTTCAGGTTGTTTCAGGTGTTTCTCAAAGCCATTAGAGACGAGTAGCAGGAGAGCCAGTGACCCAGGTGGCATCTTCCCTGTAGCAGCTGCGTTGCACGAGCTCTGAGCCTGACACACTAATTCCTGACTTGATTTACCTGTTTTGTGGGAAGCAGAGGGGCCACAGGGATGATGAGGGGTCTGGAGCATGTCTTATGAGGAGAGACTGTGGGAGCTGGGCCTGTTCAGTCTAGAGGAGAAAAAACTGAGAGGAGATCTCATTAATCCACACAAATATCCCCAAGGCAGGTGCCAAGAAGATTGTTCCAGACTCTTTTTGGTGGTGCCCAGCGACAGGATGAGGAGCAACAGCCATAAACTAAAACACAAAGAGGTTCCACCTCCTCATGAGGAAGAACTTCTTTGTGTTGAGGGTGGCAGAGCACTGGAACAGCTGCCCATGGGGATGGTGGAGTCTCCCTCTCTGGAGACATTCCAGACCCACCTGGACATGTTCCTGTGCCACCTGCTCCTCTGGGCAGGGCAGTGGGACTGGGTGATCTCCAGAGGTGCCTTCCTACCCCAGCTCTTCTGTGAGCCTGGGAATACCTTAACCTGGGAGTTAAGCCTTGGGGAATACAAGCCATTGCCAGCAGTGTTTTAAACGTGGGAAAGGCATTTGTAAGAACTTGAGCATTTTCTACCTTGCTCAGAAAATATCAGCCAGACCCTGGCAGTGCTGGTTTGAAGGTAATGGTCAGAGCTGCTTGTTGGAATGTTGCTTGGATCAGACTTTTCACTCACCAGTCACCCATTAGAGAGCGTTTTATTCGTTCCTGTGCAGTCTTACCACAATCCCAGAGCTCTGGAAGGCAGGAGGATTGCAAAGCTTGGCCTGCTGTGATGGTGTGTCCTGCTGCTACAACTCAGGAGCACCAGTGACTGCTGCAGGCAGGCACAATGGGGCTGGAAAATCCTGCTGCTGGAGCAGGGCTTTATTTTGTCTGTTGTGGCAGGGAGAAGCTGGAAAATGTCTCTGGAGAGAGGGGAACACTCGTGTGATTCAGTGTAGCTGTTACAAATTGCTTTGTTACCTGTGCTCGGTTCAAGTCCAGGTTTCCTATTTAAATGTTGTTTTTTCCTTCCCCAGGTGAAGCTATTTTTCACAAAAACAGTAGAAGAGCCATCAAACCCAGAGGCTAGCAGTTCAACTTCTGTAACACCAGATGTTAGTGACAATGAACCTGATCATTATAGATACTCTGACACCACTGACTCTGATCCAGAGAATGAACCTTTTGATGAAGATCAGCATACGCAGATTACAAAAGTCTGAATATTTTTTTTATCGGAGATAAAAAAAAAAAAAAAAAACATACAAAAAAAACCCCACCAACCATGAAGAGAGACAAACTTGAATAAACTGAAAACAAAAAAAAAAAAAAGGACCTTTCTAAATGGCAAAAGGACATAGTGTCAGATTACCAGTTATAGGAACAATTCTTTCCTGACCAATCTTGTTTTGCCCTACGAATCTACAGGGTTTGACACTTGTCCAGTCGGGGGGAAAAAAGGAAGGTTACGTAGCTCTTATATGTATATACCTTTTTGTGTCAAAAGGACATTAAAACTTCAATTAGGAACTATAAACATGGCACTTTCCCATTTTATTCCAGTTTTATAAAAGTGGAGACAGACCTAATGTGTATGCGTAGGAATTTTTCCTTTTGTGTTCTGTCACCAAGCCAAGTTCCAAACCCGAAACCGACAACAGCGACGACAAAAAAAAATTACAGGTTCACATCCTGCCCCTTTTTTTGCACTCGTGTGGCAACAGAAAAGTCTGCAGTTGGCTAAGAGATGTTTCTGGAAGGTTTTCCTACATTCTAATGCATGTCTTTTGGCTGGGGGCTGGAGAGGAGTGCTCGGGAGGGAGCGTGGCCTCCGCCCCGTGTCCGGCTGTTCCATGCACCTTTCCTTAGCATGCTGCCCCAGGCCATCCGGGACAATGGAGGAGCCGCCGCTGTCACTGCTTGTCCTTCGTGCATTCTCATCTTTCTTTTTCAGTGTAATGGTGCTAGAAAAGGCAGCTAGAGGGGAGTGATTCTGTGATTCTGTACCGGGGGGGACAGGAGTGAACCTTCCCCGCACTCGCGAGACCCGCGCCAGGAAGGGAGACCAATTCTTGGGGTCACACAAAAAAATATGAAAAAAAAAGGAAACACAGCAACAATGACTTAACCATACAAATGTGGAGGCTATCAACGAAAATAGGAGCTTGAAAACAAATGGTTACAAAATTTGACAATGATTTATTGGGTTGTTTTCTTTTTTTTTTTTTTTTCCTGAATTGTAATGGCTGCTCCATCTCCTGTGTAATCAAGGCCAGTGCTAAAAGTCAGATGCTCTTAGTGCAGACATCAGTCAACATCTTACATTTATATTAGTAGTTTTTCAATCATATTCCTGCTGTGAATACTTCATGTGCTGCCTTGCAAGCTTTTTTTTTTTTTTTTTTATTTCCTCATGAATATAAAAATATTTTGTAATGGTGCACAGGAAATGTCATTGGAGATTCTCCAGGTTAGTGTTTGTTTTGAAGGTTTCTGATGCATTTATTCAATCAAACCTCTGTCAGCCGTTCCACCCCTTTGACCTTACACATTCTAATACAATGAGTTTTGCAGTTTTGCACACTTTTTAAAAAAGAAGAAAAAAAAAAGAAGTCAGTAACTGTTAGGGAATTTTACTTGAATGCTCAGTACCTACAACGTTTGAAAAGCAGACCTTACACACGATAGAGAGGAAACCAGTGTTGCAGTGAATTCTCTGTGCTGCAAATGGAGAATAAAAAGCAGAACTTGTCCCAAATAAATTGCTTGCTATGAAAAAAAAAAACCAGCAAATTAGTTTTGTACACTAACTGACAGTGTTGTGTTATCTGTTTGTAGGGATATTAGCCAAGGGTAGGGCTTGAGATTCCCTTTTGGTGTGTTAATTGTCATGCCCAGACTGCAGGTGACTTCAGAGTGCAAGTGCTGTGGCATCCAAAGGTGAAGCAGCTGCCCAAATTGTTCCCTCTTAAGTACATCGTGAAGAGCTGAGCCCAAATGGATGCTTTTTTTAGCATATAACTCATTCCCCCCACCCCCCATTAACTTACTGGTGCTGACAGTGAAGTTCATGAGCTGTGTTCTCACCTGGAATTACTTATGGAATCTGTACAACAGCATTAATGGTTGGAATTGGAACGAGACAAGGCAGGGCTTCCAGTAATTACTGTTGGTAAACAAAGGTATAAAGGGCTTTTTTTTTTTTTCTTGTCTGGTATCAGTTGGTCAGTTTTGCTCATCAGATTCATGATTCTAACTTCTAACAAAGCTGGTAAATGCTTTCTGACTTAGAGGTTTAATTAGACTTTAATAGCTTAATGGATCAAGATTGCTGGTTCCAGCACTCGTTATTCCCAGTGCTATGACGAGCAGGAGGTGGTTCCCTTGGGACATGAATATTGAACTCTTACCCTTCCAATCACGTTTCACCTTGTCTGGTTTATAACAGTTGAAAGTTGTGTTGGCTAAATAAACAAAAACTGTTGATGCTTTAAAAGTATTTGGATATTGACACTGCTGCGTGTCCCGCTTTGGATAACAAAGGTGGGATCAGTGTGGTTCCAGCCTGGAACCTGAGGGATGGGAAATCATGGCGTGATGGGCTTTTGCACTGTTATTTTTCCTTTGGAATGTGAAGGTTGGAATGAGGGTTTTGATTTTTTTTTGATTTTTTTTTTTTTTTGAATGTTTCGATGTCTTTGAGAAGCCTTGCTTACATTTTATGGTGTAGTCATTGGAAATGGAAAAATGGCATTATATATATATATATTATATATATAATTATAGTATTATAAATTATATTTAATGACATACTCTTCCTATACCTTTAATTTTCAGTTACCAACCCATAGAAAGTTGACAAAGAAATTACTATGACTGAAAGGGTTTTGAGTCCTTATTAAAAACTTTATTTTATGACAGTATCATAAGTTAGCTTTGTAACTGCGATTCTGTAAGTAAATCTTTCATTTGAGTTCTGGACTTGTTACGCTCCAATCTTTTTTGGATTGCAACAGCTACATGTCTAAACTACTTGAATGCATTCAACTTTTGTAAAGAGCTTTACTGTTATAGGCCCTGAAAGCAGCCCCTGCTCATGTGCACGCCCAGCTCCAAACCTTGGCCACAGCTGCTGCAGGGCAGCTGCAGAACTCACACCCACGTTTCCCCTCGTGGCACACGTCGTAAACCCAGGTGGAGTTTACACTCAGCATCATTCCAAAAAAAACAAAAACAACAAACCCCACAAAAAACCCCCTTTGTAACGATCAAAAACCCCGGGATGCTGGTGTGCAAGTTCCATGTTTAGTCCTAGCAAATGTGTGCAATATGTTAACGATGCCTGTGGTTGCCACGAAGTGCCTCGTTCACCTTTGAAATGCTGTTAGGAAGTGTCGTGCATGCAGATGGATGGGGTGGGACTGTGCACTAAAAGGGGCTCCAACTGCAGCGTTTGGCAGAGCTGCCTTTCTCTGCCGGTTCAGATTTCCAGTCTGTTTTCATATAGCATATATATATATAGATACTAAAAGAAAAACAAAAAAAAAAAAATCAGTCTGTTAAGCAGCCTTACTCTGATTCAGCCTCTTCAAATACTATTGTGCTGTGCAACAGTGGCTCTGTGTGTAACTGAGAATACACAAAAACCAAGTATGACATGTACAGGATAATGCCTCATACAAATCAGATGTCCGTTTGTTATTGTGTTTAACAACCCTTTATCTCTTAGTGTTAAAACTCCACTTAAAACTGATTAAAGTCTCATTCTTGTCACTGTGTGGGTGTTTTATTGAAGTGCTTTTGAGTATGGGAAACAGTCAGCTGGAATGTTCTGCTTGTAAGCCATGAAATTCTGAGCGTGATGGTCGGAGCCAGGGGTGCTCCTTGTGCCTCCAGGGATTTTAAGGGAACTGCAGCTTAAAACCCTTTTGTGTTCAGAGGCTTTAACAGAGTGCAGGCAGTGGAAGTGCAGATTGGGTGCAGGGATCTCAACCCCTTCCAGTGCCTAAAGGGAACTGACAAAAACCATGGAGCGAGACTGTTTCCAAGGGCCTGGAGGGACAGGACAAGGGGGAATGGTTTCCCACTGCCAGGGGCAGGGTTTGATGGGATGCTGGGAAGAAATCCTTCCCTGTGAGGGTGGGGAGGCCCTGGCACAGGTTGCCCAGAGAAGCTGTGGCTGCCCCTGGATCCCTGGAAGTGCTCAAGGCCAGGAGATGCATTTTCCCTATAGAATCATGGAGTCGTTAAGGTTGGAAAAGCCCTTTGAGATCCTCGAGTCCGTGCTCAGCACACACATCAGGTGTGTAATTTGGGGGTTCTTCTGGCTGCTGTTTGCAAACTAGACTTTAAGCTGGCACTTAAATCCTAGGTGGTGTTCCCCTGGTGTGTAGGGTTACCCCCAGAGCCTCTAGGAATGTGAGACCCGTGGCAAGGAACCAGGGAGTTCTTCTGCACCCACGGGTGACTTTGGGTAACTGTGGTTATTCCTCCTGCCTTCCCACTGCTGTTAAGAGTCAGCCCTGTGTCACATTTGGCTGTGCATCTCCAAAAAACATGCAGATTGGAGTAGAGGTTTGGTGCTGTGGCCTGTTCTGCTCTTTGGTGGTTTGAGAAATGGCAGTTTTGGTGCTCTGGGGGGGTGGAGGGCTTGGCAGGTGAGTGACACAGGTGACACCATCTTTTTAGAACAGAAGGTGGTTCCACCCAAGCTGTTAATGCACCTTCCTTTTGTTGGGGTGAGCTGGTTTTGCATCCAGAAAGCGAACATAGAGTGAGAAGATGTCCAGGAAGGACGGGAAGCTTTAAGGAAAGTCGTCTGAACAGCCTTCAGCATGTTGAGTAGCTTGTATAAATATGTGGCTCTCTGTATATGAAGGGTTCTGGTCTGGAGACAGGTGGAAAGCCCTGTGGCAGTGGTGATGCTTGACCTGCCCTCCAAGTCCCGTGCTGCAGCCCTTGGCAGCTACAAGGAGCTTCTGGACAAAAATGCTCATTTTTTTTTCCCACTTACAGGTGCCTGTACAAGTGCTCTGGTGCCCAGGAAGGTGACTGTGCTCCCCAGGGTGGTGACTGTGCTCCATCCCCTGCACCACTTCCCGTGTCCTCTGACCACCCCTCCAGTGTGGGGGCCTGGCTGAGCTTTCCCTGCCTCTGGCATCTGCAGCTCGGTGTATTCAGGTCCCTTTTTAGGCAGCCAAGGAGGTTGGTTAATAATTAATTGTATCTTTTTTTAAAGCTGCAGCCAGAGTTCTAAATTCCACTCTTCTAAGCAGGGGTTCTGTTGGTGGCAGACTTTTGAACCACCTTTTTCTGCAGTTGGTTGGTGTTTTGGCTCTGAGATGGGTGCTGGTGTCCACCAGGGAGGATGTTCCCCTGTTAGCCTGGCAGATTCCCTGAGGAATCTCTGCCTGGTGCCACGGAGGGGTGATGGTGTCTGTGGGTGCAGTAGGAGCTGACAGACAGACAGACAGACTGACAGACCCTCAGGAGGGACAGACCAGAAACAAAGCCCCACAAACCATCCCTCCAGGCTGAGATACAGAGGGAGGGCAGGTCAAACAAAGAGCTGGATCAGTGTCTTCTCAAACCCAGAATATGAATTACTTGCTACGGCCTCTTTGGCTCCTTCTCCACCTTATTCTTTGGCATCTTCTCAAACCCCATCTTTCCTCATCTGTCCTTGGTTATTCTGCTCCTTTTTTTTCTGTACAATCCTGTGCTGGGCAGATGAGAAAATCCATTTATTTTGAACTGATGGTCCTCATAGAATAAAACCCCACACCTGTTTTTTGGGGGTTTTTGCCTTTTGCTGCCTGTGCTTTTTCTGGTTGGGCTTTTTTTAATGCTGTTCCATTATTTTTCCTTGTGTTTCTTCTCATTCTCCACTTTTCTTCTGTGCCTTCAAACTTCTTAGCCACTGCTCTCTCCGTTGCAAAATAGGACAGATAATTATTTTCTGCCTGCTTCTTATTTCTTTTTCTTTTTTTTTTTTGGTACACCAAGCTTTATTCTGAAGGAGAAAAGCTTTTGGGTTGCTTTTTTAAAAAAAAAAAAAAAAAACTCTGAAAACCTCAGGGATGTGCAGGTTCAGCAGATGTGTTTGCCTTGGTGAGCTGCTGTTGTGCTGGATGAGTTTCTCCAGCCTAATGGGAACGATGAGCACATGGGCTTGACTTGTGATGAGCAGCCTGAATAAAAAAAACCAACAACTTGTTAATTAACTGCTGGGCTGCGGTTTCCAGCTGCAAATGTTTCTCTCTGGGCTGTCCTGATGTAGGAAAAGGGTTTAGTGAGGTGTATTTTTTGCTTTTTGAGGGCTCTTGTGCTTCACAACTTCATGTCCCATCGCCAAGATGGTGAGAAAAAGGTGGCACATTACTCCCTGTTCCTGTTCATGGGGCATCCTCCGTTCAGGGAGGAGTCTGAAGTTGTTAAAAGGGGATGTTTTAGAGGCTGAAGTTTGTCCTTTAAAATGCCCTTTGTGTGATTCAGGCTGCTAAAGGCTCTCCTTTTCTTTCTGGCCTTTGAGGGAGCAGTTGGTAGTGGTGATGTTATGTGGGGTTTGGAAGATGAGGAGGCTGAAAGCAGCTGGGTTGGGAATTTGGAT